TTAATAAATAAATATATCTTTTTGATTTCGAGAAAGTTCCAGAAAATTTTCGCGCGCAATGTAAAAATCATATAAAAAGGAGGAAAACCTCTCAATTCGATGATTTTAGCTAGTTTGTTGTTGTTTTAAGAGTTTGTTTAGAAAACTGCTCTTGTTGATTGTAGCGAATTCGCAGATTAGCTTTCTTTAACTGTTTTGAATTAAGTTCTCTTGAACGTTTGAGTAGTTAAAAGATAACTATTGTGAGATATTGTAATATTGCTTGAATATCTGAGAAAATTTAAGTATTTTGGTTTAACTTCTTTTATAATAATAAATTTTCTTCATTCATCGGACTTGTGCATTCATTTCATAACGAACCCGTACGCACGCAACAATATTTTCATCTGTGCATATCTTCTCTGCTTTTCTTTGCTGCTGAAATATCATCTGCTACTTTGTTTTTATCATTATATATAATTATGTGAATATGTTGGGGGATAACCTGTCTATATTGAATTAAAAAGTGTTAAATTGGCCCCAACTGCTGCTATATTTTTATGTACAAACTCTGTCATAATTCATCCATATGAGTGAAATAATTCTTAATATGCTACGTCATGCTAAGTAAACTTGGCGTATTCAGAGCACTCTGAAGCTGTAACTTAAATGGCACTTGATTCGAAATATTGTAGACATTCAAAGGATGAGCTGAAAGATTCCAAACACAAATAAAAGAAAATTTTAAAAAATTTCACTAGAAGGTACACTGCATTAAAAAAAAAAAAAAAAAAAAAAAAAAAAAAAAGGAAAAAGAAAAAAGAAAGAGGACAGTTCTAATCTTCCATTCTACTGGACAACTGATGAAATTCAAATTGCATTTTTTATGTCTCGAAAGTGTGACTTAGGATTTATATTAGATTCATATATAGCAATATTTTAAGATAGATATTTTGATACAAAAATCGGCCTTTTTATGAAATGACATGCCAATTTTTTTCCCATATTTCGATTCTACGACTCAAATTATGCCTAAATATTAATTTTGTAAAATTTGGTGTGAAATTTACGGAGGAATTAAAAAATTTATCTTGGCACATTTTTTAAAGTTTGCACCAAGAGTAATTCACTTGGTTAACTCCTCAATTTACAGCAATCTATTCCCCCCCCTTTTTTTTTTCATTGTAGACGAGCAGGCTCGTATATTTTTAGATAATTTTAACAAAGTGCGTAAACCACATTTGGTGTTGTTATTGTTTATAACAAATATGTCAACTTTCAAATTGCCAATATGTAAATTCATGTATATCTTAGAAAATTTTGTATAAAAACTCTTAATTTTTTTGCAGGCGTGCCTCTACTTTAAGATGATGTTAAAAACACAAATTTAAAAATAAATCATAAAAAATGGGCGAATTTTATTTGGAATGAACCTAAATTTCAAAAAGTAAAAGGAAGAATCAAATAAATTTAATAAAAAAGGAGAGATTAATAAATATATATCAAATTCAATTAATATTGAACAGCTAAAATTTTGAGAGCTAACTTTTTTAAAACTACTTACGTGATTTTTACAAAACTTGGCAGTTTAACATAAATTGAGTCGTAGAATTGAAATAAGGAAAAAAATTGGCATGCCATTTCAGAAAAAGCCCGATTTAATGTCAAAATACCTATATTAGAACAATGCTACATACATATATATATATAATTCATATCCTAAGTCGTGCTTTCGAGACATGAAAAACACAAGTTGAATTTCATTAATCAGCCTAGTAGAATGGGAGATAAAGAACTGTCCCCCTTTTCTTTTTTTGCGCAGCGTACATGTTTAAATCTAATACATATCCTAAGTCCTGCTTTCGAGACATGAAAAATGCAAGTTGAATTTCATCAATCGGTCCAGTAGAATGGGAGGTATAGAACTGAAACTTTTTTTGTCTTTTCTTTTTTGGGCAGTGCACATGTTTCTCGCGCCTTGTGAAGACACTGGTCCCCGGTGGAATTTCTTTGGACACTGGAATCCACAAAGAGTGGCTACAACATTTCCGATTTTCATAAAACAGTTTTATGATTAATACATGTTCTGGCAAACTAATAACCATCATAACTAAAAGAATGCTACTCACTCAATCGCTTCCTTTTTATACCCAGAACTCATGCTCAGACCTCTATTTATGCAGACCTAATCAGATTGTTTCCTTCTGTACTCGCAGTGCCACAATGATCATTCTTTGATTGTCATAATGCTTGAAAACTTTAAAATAGCTCACATTAGGTTTAACATTTCTTTTAAAAAATTTTGGCTGTAATGGCAAATTTTGATGAAATTGTCTATCTACAAATTTTCTAATCAACCTACATTTTAGCTGAAGCTACAGATTGCTCTGAATAGGCCAATTAATTACGATCACCTTATATTATTTAAAAAGCATTATTTTATAAATGAACCCTGTAAATATTGTTTGGGCGCAAGAAGTATGAATCAAGAAAATCTGGAACTGTTTACGGAGTTTTTATTTATAACTAGCAGCTACGGGGCCAGCCTTTGTCTGGCTTTTAAATGACAGGAAAATGCCTGAAGGAAACACCAAAAGTTAAATTTAAAAACTGCGCAGAATTTTACTCTGCAGAACAAATTCATAAAAAAAGAGTATTACATATAACAAAATTACAATAAAATGAGCAATATCCATTAAACAAATATTAATTATCCTAATAAATAAATTAACCAACTTCCCCTTGTTTTCTCTCAACAAACGTCCAGTATACAAGAGAAACATTAAATTTAAAAACTGCACAGAATTATCACTCTCATTTTTACAAGTGTAAGAGTGCTGATTTTCAACAGTCAGCAGTCCAGCACACGATTGAATGAAAAACTGTTGCTGAAACCATATTTCTAAAAGAATGAAACTATTCAAAATGAAGCAATAAAATTGAAAAGATTTAAAAAAAAAAAAAAAAAAAAAAAAAAAAAACCTGATTTGAATTTTTAAAAAAATCGCTTCGAGGTGTACTGCTTCTAGCCTAGATGCATCAATATACCAAATTTCGTAGACACGAACGAAAGACACACAGACTCTTTCTTTTATCATATGTAGAGATTAGTAGGTTTCAGTTTGAATGTTATGGCTTTTGCGCACTTACATAACTTATAATTTAGATTAAGTTGCATATGTTAGGGGGTTAGTATACAGCACTGTTTACACAGAAATTAAGCTTGACATTCATATGTTAATTTACAAGGAGAATATTTTTTTTATTGCCTTAATTTTCAATAAAGATTTTGATTTAGTATTAATTTCTTCTTGTTAATCTTACACTAGTCTATTTTTTACTTTTGATTTAGTGCATAACAATCTCAGGATGATTGTGAGGTGATAATAAGATCAAATCCTCAAATCAAATATCAAATTTTATTGGACTGAATGCAATTTTTCACCATTAGACAGACTAGAAGAATGGAAAAAATATAATGCATCCTTTGATATTGCATTAATTAGAAGGAATAATTTTCCTCTTCATGATTTTTCCCACCATTCAACACACTAAAATATATAAAACAAATTATATATATTAAAAAACTTTAGAAATAATTTTCTTTATCATAATACTCTTGGTCATACGTGATTAAAAACTACACTGAAGTGCCCACATGTGGATTCCCTAGAATCATTAGTGCCCACATATGGATTGCCTAGGGATATTAATAGAATTTTAAGAGCCAAACAAGTGATGCTATAGACATAACACATAAAAAAAATGAAACCTTTCAGATTTTACATTACAGCCAAAGGGGTGTTTTTAAAAATGATTTGTGTGTTACCTTTTTATTTATTAAATATCATGTTCTTCACACTTAATCCATAAAATTCAATTCCCCAGCAACATTACAAAATAGTTAAAAGAGCATACCTTTAGAATTTCTGATACAGAGGCTCGCACGCTGGAGATAAAAATGTCCCCTGCCATACAGAGTTGCCATTGCTCACTTTGAAATTGTTGAGTTTCTTAATCAAATCTCATAAATGCTTTACAAAATATGAAAGAGATAATAAAACAAATTCCAAATTTGGGCTTCTGGATGCCCATACTCGTATGGAAACATACCTTACTCAAAATTTGATGGCTCCAGGTACCGTTGTTTTATCACAATGTAAGAAACATACATGTATGCTGATTCTTCACTATTTAATTTCTTTAATACAAGGCTGTAATATTTGATGGTAACAATTTAAAAAGTGATTCACCATTTATAGGGAATCAACGTAAAATGCCAAAACGAAATTAATAGACCTTCTGGGCAAATTGCCCATTTGGAGTAAAAAGTGATTACACTGAATTTGCTAAATTTCTCTGACAATTTTGATTTAAAATCCATCACTGTTAGCAACCCTATGATTTTACTTTAATTTAAGTTTTTTTTTTTTTTTTTTTTTTTTTAACTGAAAACCGCTTTTGAGTACATTCATTATGAAATTCAGATTTTCTAGTAAATATATTTTGGTAGAGCATTCAATATATCTCTAATGAATTTTATATAATTCTTCTTAGCAATTTTACCCATTTCAGCACTTTTTATTTATGATACTGAGAGCAAGTTTTATAATATGCTCCATAATAGGCAAGATTTGATTCGTGCAGAAATGCCACTAAGCTATACCAACTGCTATTAGCTATCCAATAATTAATGTTTCTATCATGTAGAAGCGTCCACACTTTAAAATTTTTGTGGAACTGTTGTGTGTGGAATTATTATCAAACCGCGATCAACATTTCCTGGATGTAAACAAAACATGTCTCTTTCAGCTATCAAAGTTCGGCAGCACTATCAACCATAGTGGGTCGAGGGCATCTGCTTTTATCCCTACTTCCATGCTAAAAATAATGAGTATATTGCTTTTCTAATACAAGTACATATTGTTCCTAATCAGAGATTACTTTGATTAGGAACAAGATTTCAAAATTAAATTCTATGTAAATTATTTCAATATAAATACTAAATACTCTAAACTTACTACTTTGGGACCCGCGGCGAATTTTGTCAAATTCTTGGCCAAAAACATGGTCCTCAGCCAAATTTCCAGGTGCACCAACAAAAGGATTCCACTGTGACAGGTCACTAGGATGCTTCTGCTGTGTAGCAGCAGAGGGCTGTGCATCATTTGTTGCCACGGCATGATTTTGTGATGTTTCATATGGTGTAAGAAACTGAGTAATTTCTTTTGCTACATTTCTGATAAAAAAAAGGGGTCAACTTATTTATAACATTCAATACTCTTTATTACAATAGATGTTTAAAAGTAAATTAAATGGATATATATATATATATATTTGGTGATTATTCAGAACACCTTTTTACTTTTAGGCCCTTAGATTAGTTAAGAATTTCTGCCGAAATACTCACACTGTCTTAAATAATTTCTAATAGGTAATAAACCAACAAATCTTAAAACATTACTGGAACTACTATACCTAAAATGCCTAAAATGCTATTAGTTACTATACCTAAAATGCCTGCTATATTTAATTTTTAGTATACATTAGTAATATTATTTATAAATACTTTATCAAAAGATATTTCTTAACACGTTTTTATAGAAAAAACAGTTTTTTTCTGATTATCCACAACCTCATCAATAAGGACTGATTAATCAGGTAAGACATCACATCGATAAAAGCATATTTATATTGCAATTCAGGAATGGACATAGCTTTTAACCTTTCTGGACATTTTCAAAAGTGTGACAACAGATTTTGATCCTCCATTGGGAATTTCAGCATTTTTAGCGTTACTGTGGATCATATACTACATTTTTTACTTAGCAGTGCGAGACGTTTCACAGAGCTAAAGGCTAAATTTATAGGTGACAAAATATTAATGCCTTTCACATGGCACTGCATCTTATCCAAATATTTAAAGTTAAATAGACGAGAGACTAGGGAGAAAGATTTATTTTGTGTTACAATTGGTTGCCTTTTCTTAACAGAAAACCAGCAGTTATTCTATAGGCATATAATTTTACTACCGTATATACCCGCATATAAATCCCCCCCCATTTCTACATAAAAAATTCGTAGAAAATAAGAAACCCGCGTATGAGTCGACCCCCCCCACTTCCGAAATTGATCGAGAAACTTCGAAAAAACTTTTTTAAGTACTACATTTATTCAAAATCATCTGAGAAAAAAAAGTAAATATAAAAAATACCTTGGTAAAAAAACAAAATCAAAATCCTTCAACGTCCGATTCATGGTCAGATTCGCCAAACATTTCATAGAACTCTTCTGTCGTCATTGGCTCGTCATCATGCATATTTTCAGTCTCCAACTCTGTATTGTTACAATCACTACTAGAGCCTTCGTCGTCATTTTCACTTTCAAAAACATCATCTTCTGCGCCGTCTAGTTCGTTGTTAATACAACATTTTTTAAATGATTTTATAATAATTTCAGAGGGTATTTCGTTCCAAGCATCTCTAACCCACTGAGCAATTAATGTAATATCGGGATTTTTAAAATGTTGCCTCCCTTTGTAAATGTTGTATCCAAAACGCAGGATAATTGGGGAAAAATGATCGTACATAGTAACCTTCTAGAATTTGTTCCGGAAAGATTCGCGTACGTAAAATCTATCTGCATTTTCCCTTTTTAAAAGTTAAAAGAAATATTCAAAACTGTTCAGTTTTTGCGTGGGCTATTTTTTTTAATTTTGAAGTGTACGCCTGTTAACAAAAGTATTTCATGAATGAACAATAACTATTATAAAGACTTATACATACGTAAAAACTATCTGCATTTCTCTTTTCTTGGCATGTTGGCGAAACTTTTTTATTGCTCGATACTGATCGGTTGTTCGGGGGCCGAAAATTCTTTGGTTTAATTGAAACTTACTCTAGTTAAAGTATGAAACTCTGTGATTAGCTCGTCATATACTTTAAGTCATGAAATTACTTCAAGTAAGTGACTTATTTGATAAGTCGTCCAATTTGAGTGTGGGAAGAAAACAACTGCATTATATAAAGAAATTCTTGAACTTCCGATTCTTTTAATTTTTTATGGCCCCGCATATAAGTCGACCCCCCACTTTGAAGTGTTTTTTTTTGTCCAAAATATCTCGACTTATATGCGGGTATATACGGTATGTAATCAATTTAAAATTTGTATTGGAATCTGCAAAGCTGCATTTGAAAAGTTGTTGTGTTTCTAAAATTGTCCATTTCCTCCAATAGCATATAGTTTTATCATAATGCTTTTGATACAAGAAACAACATGACTTCTCTCTCTCTTTCAGACCTTTATGAAAACTGTTATTTTAATCCTTAAAAATAGTATTTATATTTTGCTAACATTAGTACTTAAAATAAGAAAACATTTGCATAGCCAATTTTGCTGAAAAATTAGATAGTGTTTCAATGCTGTTATCAGTATTATGTGGTCTTGCTTGAAATCAACAAGCACCAGAAGTCTAGAAATATTTTTACATACATAGAAGTTATAAAAATAAGCAAGAAAATTCATATTTAGGATATAAGTCTAAATTTATGTGCTGAGAAGTATTTATATGTAATTATGTATTTACTAATATTTACATCCAGATAAATCTCAAAGTTTCTTTAAACAGAGCGAACAAACTGATTTTGCTTATAATCACAAATTCAAGAGGGAACAAATTTCATCTTTCTCATTCTTATTCACTAATGCAAACAACAATAACACATAAGCAGTTCAAACTGATGCACTAGTTCAATGCTCCTTGCATATGTTTCGTGGTGCACATTTCCTATGCTTTAGATCTGCACTATGCATTATTTGTTATTTATAATAAATTGTTGTTATATCAAGATTTTTAGATAATTCTTTTAGTTTTGTAATTTTTTTACTGACGGTAGATTTATAAATTGAACGCTGAAATCACTGAATGGCAATTGGATAATTTGAAATGATCAGGAGCTTTTCTCATTGAATTTTGATTGAATTGAATTTTCAGATAATTCAATTCCCCTCCTGGTTCTTTTAACTTTGGTTAACTAAAATTTAAATGTATATTGAAATCTGTAAGAACTACGAGACAATTAAGAATCTAAGAATTGAATGTGGAACAATTTTTACACAAAAAATTTAAATGAATGACCAAAATGAACATAAACTGGCACCCTCTTTCAACATTTCATTATTACATTTATTATTTAGATACATATGTAATTTTCTGATTTTGGTCATTTGGCAGAGTCACATAGGCTATATGCTGTAAAGCTCCCGGGCTAATACTGAATTCAGTTGTAGACTTATCCAAAAATTTGGCTTGGAAGACAGAAATTAGTTAGTTTCAAATCATTTTCCTATTTCTGTGCTATGGCTCTTTAGAATTTGGAATGAATATGGATATTTTAGAATCTGTTATAGTTCCGCTGTTCAAGTCCTGTAACTGCTGTGCCGAGAATACCGACTAACTTGTCAATCGAAATTTTTTCGTTTTCACTAACCTCTCTATCACTTTCTTCATGCCTCCATTTTTTGCAGCAATTCCATTTTTTGTTTGATAGACATCGAAACAATGCTTTCGCTTTGTAGATCCTTTGGCAGCTCCAGAATCAGAAAATCTTTTTGACATAATTGAAAGTTCAAGCTTACTTTTTATAAAATTGCTCTAACAGTCTGCAAAAATAATAAGCCAAATCCAATTAAAATATTAAGGAACAACGCAATCTGCAACATTAACTGAAATAGATAATTAGATAATTTTAGCCTAGCTTATACCGTCCGTTATACATTAGATGCGCATGCATAAATGTATTACGCACATGCGTAAAGGTATTATGCGCAAGCGTAAACATATTATGCGTTTATGCATGCGCAGAAAGTTTGTAGCTTTGAGGTTCGGATTATAGATCATTCCGGATTATGAACGTCCGGATTAAAGACTTTGTACTGTAATAATTATAAAAGCTATTTTAATGCTTATTTTTTTTTTTTTGTTTTTTTTTTTTTTTTTTTTTTTTTTTATTTTTTTTTTTTTTTTTTTTTTTTTTTTTTTTTTTTTTTTTTTTTTTTTTTTTTTTTTTTTTTTTTTTTTTTTTTTTTTTTTTGTTTTTTTTTTTTTATTTTTTTTTTTTTTTTTTTTTTTGTTTTTATAATTATTATAAAATAGTATAGCAATCTTGAGTCAAACAATGTACTTGCTAATAGAATACCATAGATATACCCTTGATTTCTTTCATCAATATTTTTAGAGAAAAAACTGATATTGCATTCCCTTTTAAACCTTTCACCTCATTATGAAACTGTTTAGGCATACTAATAGCATTTCATAATAACCCTTAATCTTCAAACTTAATAATATCCAATAAATATAATTATCTTTCATAAAGAATTTCAGATTGGAAAGTTATTCCAAATCCTCATGAAATGAATAAGAATACAATTATTATGTAAATCTGAATCGTATTTATTCGAATGTTACTTTATACATTTAAGCTCTAAGCAGCATTCTTATATGAATGCTGCAGATAATTTTAAGTATTTACTATAAACGTTATTTTACTATAAACATGTATATTAAAAATAATCTACTTACTTATCAAAGGCAGATGTATCACTAGCGTTCCTTCTATGATGACTATGCTGACTGGGGGTCGGAGAAGGAGGTGGTGTCACAGATACTAGATTATGAGGTGAAATCTCAGGAATAGATGCAGCAGCCAGATACGGTCGATGTTCTTCAGTAGAAGATGGAAGACCAGAAGCTATCTGCTGAGATACAGGTGGTGGTGGAACACTTGCAACTTCCACTGTCGGCACTTCTGAAGTTGATAATTTCCGTTGACTGACTAGCTGAGTAGAATCTGGCGACGACAAAACTGATGCTGTAGAGACAGAAGACGGTGAAGGCACAAGAAAGGTTTTTTGGGTAAAAGGACTGATGAGTGATGGAGCAGACAATGCAGTTTGGGGTATCGTTGGGGTAAGACATGAATTCAGAGAAAGAAAGGTTTGGGATGATGAGCCAAGAGGAGTAGCTGGAGTAGATATGTTAGAGTGACAAGCAGAGGGGGGCAGAAGTAAAGCTGGAGAGTTAGCCAGATCTGGAAAAATATGTTAAAATTAGTCAAATACAACAGGAAGGAATTAGTGCTTTAAGCATAATTGTGTTCATTATATTCCTTCATACACCACCACACTTAGCAAGCAAATTAAAAGGAAAATCATGCAAAATATTCCTTATGTAGTGATAGAGCATAAAACTTATGAAACTTTTTCTATATTATTACAAATTATTATATAAAAAAGGGAGATATACTTTTCTACACATTTTTATGAGCCTGAGAAAAATCACCTTCATCATTTAAATTTCTTAATGTATATTTTTGTTGTTTGACTTAATCATACTGCATTTAAATAGAAGCTACACATAGTAAGGCAATTTAGCCCTTGATATAGTAGAAACTACTAAATTATAAAATCATAATAAACTTAGTCTGTAAATAAAAATTCAAATTTACATTTAGAATACCAGAAATAATTTTTAAAAATACTTAACCTACAATTCTTTAGCAGGACTTTTAACTAAATAAAATATCTAAGCAAATTACTTCTTCAAACTTAATAGCAGTTTAAGTCAAAGTTAAATACATTTATTGTATAAAATAACAACCAATTTGGCTAAAAAGTTGTCATGAATAGATTCCAGGTTTTTTTATATAGCTACATATTTTCTCAAATGCTTCACATTCTAAAAGTGATGACAAATTCTGTATCTGATAAGTATTAATGTTCATATCTCAACTTCTCCTAACCTCATCTTCAGTAAAAATAAGATAAAAAATCAAAACATCACATTCTGCATTTTGGGGAAACTATCTCCCAATTCTACATCTAATTACATCATTTTTATAGTGTTTGCTTCCCTTTGTCATCTTTGAAAACACATTTAATATTTGACAAATGCATGAATATATGTTATACAGTACAAAGTCCGTAATCTGGACTCGACGGGACTTCTACAATTCCGGATTAGGGGTTTTCCTGAATTATAGATAATCAATTTAAATCTGGTAAGATGGCACACAGAAATTATACAATTAAAAATATGAAACCATAATTTATGAAATAAAGAGCAATTATGAACTAAAGAGTATCAAAATTTACAAAAAAAAAAAAAAAAAAAAAAAAGGAGCTTAATACTTATTTGTTTACTTTATTAAACATTTCTTTCAATGTAAGTTGTTTAAGTTGCTTCGTTTTTTTGTGCTAATACTTTCTCTTTAATTCTATACACAGACATACAGTGGATGGACAAAAATATGGAAACACCTTGTGAAATGCATGTTTGAAAAGAAAGATTGATTTTAATGAAATATGTAGGTGGTGCTGGCATTTTTGACTACTGACGCCACCTATACAACTTCGTAAATGTGCTAAACAGTTCAGTTGTTGTCGGAGTACTGTTATGTGAGGTTGTCATTGCATTATGTCAGAGTTAACAGACTTCGAACGTGGGCAAATTGTTGCAGCACGTAGGGTAGGTGCTTCCGTAAGCAAGGTAGCCGAGGTGTTTAGTGTTTCAAGAGGTACTCTATCAAAGATTTATTCTGCATATTTGAAAAGTGGAAAAAATCATAGCACGGACGAAAGTGTGTCCTGAGTGATCGTGACAGACGATCATTAAGGGCAATTGTGACGAAAAATAAGAAGACCACAGCTGCAAAAGTTACTGCTGAAATGAATGCTGTGTTACCGAACCCTGCGAGTACCAAAACAATTAGAAGGGAGCTTCATAAACAGGCAAATGCTGTCAGTGCTGCAATTGAGAAGCCACTCATCAGCGATGCTAATGCCCGTAACAGGAAAAGGTGGTGTTTAAGTCATAAAGCCTGGACTATAGAGCAGTGGAAGCGAGTAATATGGTCTGACGAGTCTTCTTTCACATTGTTTTTTACTTCTGGCCGAGTTTACGTCTGGAGAACGCCATCTCAAGCCTATAATACAGACTGCTTGTTGCCAAGAGTGAAACATGGCGGGGTTTCTGTTATGGTGTGGGCAGCCATATCGTGGTTCTCTGCTAGCCCCATGATAACTGTGTCAGGGCACATGACTGCCAAGACTTATGTGAACATTTTGGCCGATCAAGTTCATCCCATGGTACAAACTTTGTTTCCCGATGGTGATGGTGTCTTCCAAGACGACAAAGCCCCTGTTCACACAGCTCACATTGTCCAGGACTGGTTTTTCTGAGCACGAGGATGAGTTTGTCCCATCTCTCCCCTGGCCACCACAGTCACCAGACCTGAATATTATCGAACCTTTGTGGTCTACATTGGAACGGAAAGTGCGTTCTTGTTATCCACCGCCAACATCGTTATCTGAACTTGCCACCGTTTTGCAGGAAGAATGGTATAATATTCCCTTGGAAAACATACAGGAACTGTATTTATCCATTCTGAGAAGACTGCAAGCTGTTTTGGATGCCAACGGGTTTCCTACACCATATTAAGCAAAGAAACATGTTTTTTTAAAGGTGTTTCCATATTTTTGTCTAACCCCTGTAATTTCTTGTTCAGTTACAAAGCTCCACTGTTCAAGTCCTGTAATTTGTGTCGAGAATACAGACTAACTTGTCAATCGAAATACCTCTCTGTCACTTTCTTCACTATCGGAAGTGTGCATGGGTAAACGCTTTACGCGCATTAGTTTGTGGCTTTGAGGTCCAGATTATAGATCATTCGGGATAATGGACGTCCAGATTACGAACTTTGTACTGTATAATACACCTTTTGAAAAGGTTCCTTCACCGGGTCTTTTAAAAAGGTTCCCCCCTTTTTTATAATATAGCTATTTACATTTTCATTCTCTTATTAAGTATTCAAGGATCAAGTATTTTTGTGTAGAAAATACAAGACTAGATACATTTGATCAGGATTGGCAATGCGGCGCTTGCAAAACAATTTTAAAATGCACCACCATTCAAATATCTAAATTTTAAATGTTTGGATAATAAGCACTTATGATTGTAATGGATAACTTTAGTCAAAATTCTTATTTTATCTTTGCTATTTTCATAATTGTATGAAATGTACAATTAAACTTTATAAAAACTGAATCACGGTATCTACATGACTAGATCAAATAAATTTTTGGATGCCAACAATGACTGCTGGAAACATCTGATTCCACATACAGTGTGAACTATTTTCTATCCCCATTACTTTTGTATACTACGCTCAACCATAGTGTGCTACGCTTTATGTCCGTAACTTTTATTTGTACATAAACTCATCATTTCACGAACCTGTATTGAGTTATATGTAGACTTCTCGTCAAATTAAACAATAATAAAAATATATAAGCTTTTGCAATGGTTGGTATTAAAAAATAATTTCAACTGATTATTACAGTTTAAAAACCTTATTTCAGTTGCATAACAACAGCAATTTACAGTTCTCTTCCTTGGCTAGCAACATTTATACAAACAATTTGCTACAGCACCGTATTTTCATAAACATATTCACAATAACAAAGCAAACTGTTTGATCTTTGAAGCTTTTAATATTCATAAAAGTTAACTCTATTTTGGTGTAATTGTATATTTTTTATTATTATTCTTATTTTATTTATTATTATTATAGTAGTTGCATCACGTGCCTCCCATGCCTGTTGAACTCCTGAATTTCTGAGATATGCTCTAAGATAGTAAAGAAAAGGTTGGCAATCCCTGCATTATATGTAACCATTTAAATGAAGAAGCAAAGATGTTTGTCCAAAGAGGATGAATTAATATGACTGTAACTCCTAGACACACAATTCGAATCTTAGAGCTATTTGATATTTTGGTTAATAAACCATTCAAAGATAAATTCCAAAGGTTTTTACATAGAATGAATAGTTGGAAATACCTGCAACTTGAAACCTAGACAGCAAATACAATGGATAAATTTGGAAAAAAAAAAAAAAAAAAAGTGAATGAATCATGGAAGTGAATTTCACTAAAAGTATTTATGAATCGATCTAGCAAAATGCTGAAATCTATTAATCCTGGATGCATGGCAGGAAGTGCAATGTTCCAAAGCCAAACTAAATAACAATTAATTAATATTTAGGTTTAATGGTAATGAACAGTATAGCCAATTATCTCATTACATAGCTTTTGCATAATTCTTAACATATCAGTAGTTAATTATCTATTTGGATTTCTTTTAATTTTTTGGAACAGTCACATTTAGCAAATATTATATTCTTCTTGTACATTGTCATTCATGATTTTTGCTTTGTATCTAAAAGATTCCCTACAAGAATACACAGGAGTATACCTTGTAGCTCCATCTACAAAACAATTTGAGTATTTTTCATTTCTCAATTTCTAGTGAATGAAAAATCACAAATGTATGAAGAAATATGATATACCATTTTAAAAATGGGAAAAATTATTTTCTCATTAATTACAGTTACTTATAATTTAACGTAAGAATGAAATTCATAGCTTAATCCCTTTTGGAATCCATATGCATGTTTACCAATGCTAAACTTAGATGAAATTTTATCATTATATAATAATAAACTGTTTGCAAGCAGTAAAATTATCAAAAAATGTATATGTAAATTAATGTATGATATTTTGTAGTTAAATTTAGTAGTCATTTTACCAGCTCTGTAGTGGTTTACAAAATATACATATCATGTAATAATAAGAGTTTCGAAACATTTATGACAGTCTTTTTTTTTTTTTTTTTTTTTTAAATAAAAGATGCATAGCACTCCAGGAAAATTATTATTACACTTTTTCTTTCTTTGCTTTACACACAAATTACTCTGTATTTACAATTTAAAAGAAATATATATACTAAATCTAAGAAGACGAAACAGCCTAAAAACCAATGGCCCAGTAATTGCTTCTTACAAAAACCTGACATCTATAAATAGCATTTGCATAATAAGCTTTAAAATTTGATAGAAATTTTTTTACATATAGAATGAGTTATAATTTTATAAAATGACAATATGATACTAGAATTTCCCAGGATTGTTAATATAAACAATTATATAATAAAAGTACATACTAAGATATAAATGAACAATTTATTTTAAAATTTGTTAAGATGGATATATACAACTTTTAGGGGAGCTCAAAAAAAGAAAAAGAGTAGTATAGTTTTTCTTAACAGTTAAAATTCTATTATATAATTCAAATAAGTCTCTACACACTCGGACTTTAGTACTAAAAATGATAAAAAGAAGAGAGTCTAACTGAAACTATTTCAATTCTCCTCTCCACAAACAAGTTTACACCTTTCCAAATAATAACTAACTGAATTTTCAATGAGAGAATGGCAAAATTGGCTTACCTACAACTTTTAGAATTTAGTTTTCTTTCCTCACAAATGCAGTGTACTTTCGATTATTTGGGTTTGGATTATCCATGCATTTAACATTATGTGTGAGAGTGTGAAAAAAAATATGTGCAAGTCCAATCATGCTCCAAAAACTGCTGAATCATGTCCTCAGGGTTTAGTTTCAATGATTACTTTGCATAATTAATTCTGCATGTGGATAGTCAAAGGCATAATTTTGGTTGATCAGTAAGATTTTTTTCTTTTTTGTTTCATACATACCTTTTTCTTATTATTTTAAAAATTGATTTAAAATTTTACAACTGAAAAATAAATAAAGAACAGGCTATACATGGAAGAAGTTGCTTTAACATTACAACAAAACTTAATTAACCACAAGATCTGAACATAGAAAATTGACAATATAGTTTGCTGAAAAATGTAGAATCTATTGGACTTTATTAACCAAAAGGGATTTAAATACAGTGATAAAAATAGCACTTTGAAATGCAGTGATCCTCCACAAATATTTAAACATTCTCAAAAACAAAGTAAAATTACTGTTCATTATTATTTATTAAAGATATAAACATATACAATATACATGGAAACTGACAGTTTGGATTATTTGTGTTTTTCAATTATCCATGATCTGCTTCTGAAGCATTAGCTCAGATAATCAAAAGTCTATAAATCAATCTCTATAAATTTCTATAATCAAAATATGGAAGGCACTTAATCCAGCCAATGAAAAAATTTAAACAAAGTCCATGGATAACCTTTAGAAAGAATTGGGATAAGGTAACAGGAATGGGATAGGATGTCAGATAAAGCAAATGAAAGGGTACCAGAAAGCTACACATAAAAGAAAATTACTTTTGTTTACATACCATGTGGAGTTGTAGGAGTAACTCTTTTTCCAGATGTGGGTGTTGCTTGAGGCAGCAAAGTTAAACTACCTACACCCGGAGGAGCTTGAGATCCTTTAGGCCTCTGACGAGGAGCTACTGAAGTTCCTTCTACGACAGGAGTAGAAGCAGGCCTACATAAGAAGAGTTAAAAAAACATAAAAAATTAGAATTATTCTATTACTTCAGATTTTCTTTGCAAATTCCTGAAATTTTTCCAGAATCAATTAAAGGCCAGTTTCCACTGCTGCGTATGCGTTGTGGTGTCTATGCGTTTCTCCAATCAGCGAGCGAATTCACTTTGATTAACATCTGCAATTCGGTCGATGTGTGGTAACAAATGACGTACGGATGGAGTTCAACAATGTTCAACTTCTATCCGTATGTCTGTGGATGCATTGGGGTCACGTGGTAAAAAAGGAGCAATAAGGTGTTGTCACCAAAAATTAATGGTGGTAGAAGTAGCGATGAACGCTCGCTTAGGGAAAGAATGTTTTGCGAAAAAATAACTTTTTTTTGAATTAACATTATAGCAAGAAATCTGCATGCTGAAAAAGACAGCAATCATATAAAAAATATAAATAAAATAAAAAAAGCTAAGAAAAATAAGATAACTGCAACTACAGTACTTGCTCGCATAGAAAATTAAGCACTCAAGAAAATCAGCGTCAAAAATTATAATTCTAAGTCCATGAAATAGCAAAATTTGTCATGAAAATTATTTCCTAGCTCTGCATATACATTTACCTTTAATGAAAATGAATGTCTGTATAAAATTGCTACAGCAAACCAGATATGGCATTAAATGATTTGTTATTTTTTTCTTTTGAAACAGGTAAAAACTAAAAACATTAATTATAAATTAAATTTGAGAGCCTTTTAAATATTCCACTGCATTAAAGAGTATGTTAAATTTGTATTTCTCTATTTATAAATATATCTTTTTGGCTAACATAAATTTGTAAGCACATGAAATATATTTTTAGCAGCCCGTTTAACTTCAATCGGAAGTCCACTTTAAAAGATGATGTTTTTTGTAAGAAATGTACTAGAAGCTGAAGAACAAACTCTGGTGAATTTTTTAGACGATAGCACACTGAAATAAGACCAAAAAATTTAGTTTTAAGAATTGATTTACTTGATGATGTATATAAGCCAAAATATGCATACCATTCAAGTAAGGTTAAAAAGGTAGATAATAAGAGGTTTTAGATAAGTAAGATAAAAATTGCTAGCGCAGTTCATAAGCAGAAATAAAAATTTCCAATAACATGCAATTTAGTAAACAAAACTTTTCTGCATTTTACATCTGGATCCCCATCAAATCCAAAATAAACAATACTCACTTAAGCGGGAAAAATTCAATGTTCAGCGTCGTAACTCGCGAACTGGTCGTTTGGCGCCAAAATATTACAGTGACACCTAGCGGCGTAAAATGAAAATAATCTACAGATATGCGGCAGTGGAAACGCTCGTACGGATGCTGTAGGCGTGTCTTCAATTGATGCAACGTGTTCGTACGCAGTAGTGGAAACGAGCCTTTACTGAGACTACTTTCATTTACAAAATCACTTTACTGCATATTTCTTGTCCAAGTTAAATAAAAATGTACACATTTAACTTAAAAAATCTGAATCTTTAAAGGCCTAAAAAAATTAAAACTAATATACAGTCAAAATATGTTAAAATCTATAATGCTTTAAAAAATAAAATGACTATGGAAACTAGCTTATTGATATTAAATACTTTTTACTGAAAATTAAAAAAAGTGGCAAGAATATAGATCAGAAACGAAACAATAGACCGCAAATTTTTTAATTTTATATTAATATATATGTTTCCTATCTTCAATTTAGAACTTTGATCTCGTAATCTTATAAAACAATGAAATTTTAGAGTATTACATAATGCACCAACCAAAACATTATAAAGAACAGAACAGAAAACAGGTTTTGGTGACTAATTTTTGTTGCAAACTTTGGAAAGAAACAGCCAAAAGTCGCAAAAAACTGATGATCATTTGGGCAACTGTAACTGCTGCAGCCCATATGCAACTATAAATAGCCCCATGTACTTGTTAACAGAATGCACCTTCCAGCAATTTCTAGAAAATTCAAGGTACTTAAAATTTCTCAGCAGATGGGAGGGAAATTACATAAGACTGGTAAAATAATCTATTCTCAGTTTAGTTCAGAGTACTGAGAGATCACTGAGCAAATTTATGCATTTTTTTTTAAATACTGTCTTGCATTTAACATTCTTAGTAGTCTGAAGTGGTAACTACTGATTGTACTATGTCATACCGAGAAGAGCTATATGAGTACTTTTGTGAAAAGTTCCAGGATTCCCCCCTTGCATTAAAATAAATAAATAAAAAATAAATAAAATAAAACCTGGGATATGTCTCCACAGAACAGCAAGTGGTGGATTATTTTCAAAGGATCCTACTATCAAAAAAGCATGTATTAATGAATATGTTAGAGTCAGCTGAATGGGGGCGACAAAAGAATAACAGATTAGAATGATCACCTGAAGGAAGTTTGTACTTATAGTATTCTAAACCGAATTTTTGGTAGAATTGAAAAGCCTAACATAGTACAGTCAAAAGTCGTTAATCCGGACTCGTCGGGACTTCGGCGATTCCGGATTATAGATCATCAGTTTAAATCTCGTAAGATGGCATGCAGAAATTGTAAAATTAAAAACATGAAACCGTAATTTATGAAATAAAGAACAATTATGATCTAAAGGGTATCAAAATTTACAAAAAAAAAAAAAAAAAAAAAAAAAAAAGCTTAAAGCTTATATATTGTTTACTTTATTAAACATTTCTTTCAATGTAAGTTGTTTAAGTTGCTTCGTTTTATGTGATAATACTTTCTCTTTAATTCTATAAACAGACATAATTTCTTGTTGTTCAAAGTTCTGCTGTTTCAAGTCCCGTTAATTGCTGTGCCGAGAATTCCGACTAATTTGTCAATCGAAATTTTTCGTTTTCACTAACCTCTCTGTCACATTCTTCATGTCTTTATCCATTTTTTGCAGCAATTCCACTTTTTGTTTGATGGACATCGAAACATACTTTCGTTTTGTATGATCCTTTGGGAGCTCCAGAATCGGAAATTCTATTTGACATAATCGAAAGTTCAAGTTTACTTTTATAGTATTGCTCTTACAGGCCGTAAAAAATAATAAGCCGGATCCAATTCGAAAATTAAGGAACAACTCAATCATCAACATTAACTTGAAATGCCTTAATAATCAGTAAGATATAATTTTAGCCTAGCTTATACCATCCGTTACACATAAAACGCTCACGCGAAAACGTATTCTGCACTTGCGCACACGTAAAACGCCTATGCGCATGTGCCAACGCAGCGCATGCGCAGAAAGTTTTTAGCTTTGAGGTCCGGATTATAGGTGTCCGAATTAACCAGTTTTGACTGTAGTAGAAATCGATGAAAGACCTTATACAAAGTATTAAAACAAAGTGGGTGGAATACTGATTGTTTACAAAACAAAGACACAATAGTTCCTGCAGAACTGGTAAGAATGAAGGGTGCAGCTTTGGCAGGATTTCTGAAAACTTTCAAATTTCAAAGGTAGCCAACTTTTATGGTTGAAAACAAACTACAAAGAGCTATTTTGATCTGATAAGCACTGAGAAAAATGAAAGAATACATTTTCAACTTATGAGCAATTAAATACAGTTTTGAAAAAGTTCTTTTAACTGGAATATTGCATTTGTTTAAGTAATGACTATTAGAAGATACTATTAGAAGACTGAGTTACATAAATAGCAAACTATTTAAAAATTTCCTCAAGAAGACTACTTGATGAAAAGGGTATTTAAGTGTACACTTTTTCATAGTCTGACAGTTTTTTAAAGAAGACTGATAATTTATAGTTGAAAAAAATTACTTGTTATATATATTACATACATATTTTACATTTTAAACAGGTATTTATTTCCAAAATCAATCAATAAAACTAATTACAATTTTTTCCCCCCATTTTGGTGGAGATTTGTGGTGATTGCTTTAAGAATAAATTTATAGCAACTGTTCTCTTTAGCCACTTCACAGCAACAATGGTAATATTATAGAAAAGGTATTTGAACTTTCTTCCACTGTACTTTAATACTGAGTTTAAAACAAACAGCAACAACAACAAAAAATCATGATTTGCTTACAAAACCCACAGGAACTTGAAATACAATGAAACTGTTATTAAACAGAAGCTTAGTTATGCACATGGCTGCCAGAGTTTAGCAATTTTTTATTAAGGTGATTGTATTAAAACATACTTACAATGAATAGATATTATTATGCTTTTTAGAAATAAATTTTATTTCGAAGATTCTGAAACTCAAAGAAATTACAGGTGTACTATGTGTTTCAATTTTCCTTCTTTTCACTAAGAAAGTTTAAAGCTACATATTAATAAGCTATTTCAAACAGTTTATTTATTCGAAAATACAAGGTATAAATACCTTTGTTGTTTTGCAGTAGCCTTTCTGGCCTCACTTTCAGTTTGAGGAGATGGTAATTTATCAATATCTGGAATGATTGAATTCTGCAAAAACAAGAGATCAAAAGGATTAGAATTAATAATTTTATACATATCTAATTTTACATTTCTCTATCTATTATAATAATTACTTTTAAATTTGGAACAGGACATTCTTTGCCAGCTATCTTGAAAGCTACGTAAGAGACTTGAAATATATCTGGTCGTTTTTCAGGTTCTACTTCTAACATATACCCTATGAAAAGCAACATAAAGATACATATAAACTATGGTCACTTGGAAGAGAAATTATTCAAAGCAAATTTTTTTTATAAACTTAGAAACATACAAATAACTTACTGATTAAGGAATGAATATTTTTAGAATAACGGGAATTATCTGGAATGCTGAAATTTCCACTTTGAATAGCTAAAGCACTTTCTCCAAATGGTAAAGTAAAAAAGCATAATTTATACAATAAACAACCTAGAGCCTAGAGAAAAGAAATATTAACAAAAGAATTTAGTTTCAAATACTATAAATACTTTATATGAAAAACGAGTCAAAGATTCTAATATTAATAGTATATTATAAAAATTCAAGCTGACTGATGATTTTAAGCAACAAACTAACAGAATCTTGAACATTTTATTTTTCTATATATTTTATAAACAAGTAGTTATACAATGAAGCACATCATAAGATTTCAAGATATCTAACGCAAATTTTAGAGCAAGAATGGGAAAAAATATTTTTTATAAATATAGTCTCATAACTACCATAATGCATAAAAGATATTTCAAATAACAAATTTGATTCAAAACACCATAACATGGCATACATTTTATGAAATGTTACAGTTCAAAAATTCAAAAACTGAAATGCCATAACTGTTATCATTTTGATATCATTCTTCAGGGCCTTTCTCCTTCTTTTTATGAAAGTATTTAAAAATTTGAAACAATGCATAAAAATTGATACAGTTACTTCAGAGTGCTTAAATTATTTTATAATGAAAATTAACAGTTATCTACACAATAAAATAATTTTTATTGAATCATAAAGGTTGTAAAGTAAGCTACTTTATTTATAGTATTATTTTATACCATTTACAGTGTTATTTACTTTTATTTTACTTTATTTATAAACCTAAAACTATAAAATTCAGCTTTCTTAAAATAGTGTAACCAACATCATATTGAAACTGCATTATTAAAATTTTAATGCATTTATTTTACATAAAATTAATAATTTTACAACTTAAATACAGTAAAAAATTATATGCCATGGTATTATTTCTCAAACATACCCAAATATCCACTTTTGTAGTGATGGGTTTCCCACAGTACAAATCTATCATTTCTGGAGCTCTATAGGACAGGGTTGTGTACCTAAAAAATATTTATCTATGAATAAAGATAATATTTAAAAGAGAATAAAATAAGAAAATATTGGACAAAAGCATCTTCTTTAATTACACAGACAAATTTTTATGAAAAAAGAAATTAGTACGGAAGGAACTGAATGAATGTTATTTTATGACTATATCAAAAGGAGGTTCACAGAATAAATGATCTAAAATAATGTCAAAATTATTTTATGCTTCACTTTTCATGACATAATAGTTTGTACCTCTAATGATACTTTGCTAGCGTATTATTTGCTAAAACAAGAATTAAAGCTATCATGTGAAATTTTAGAAGGACTTCTGTGGAAGAGATAATTTCAAATAAAACAAAAACAAATATATTTAAAAAAAAAAATGTTAGGCAGCATAAGAAATGCAAATTCCCCTTAATATAATGGAACAGCACTCGTTTTTGTAAAAATGCTGGAAGGCAAAAATCTGAAAGAACCTCAAACAGCATAAGAAAAGACAAATTCTTATATGCTATTTTATTATTGGTAAGTAATAATAGATTAGCTTAATTAAACATAGCAATATATACTAGGGCTATCTGCTTAGGAGGAGAGATGCCTTTGTACAGGAGTAGTCACATTACACATGGGGAAAACCAACTATGCAGCCAGCTTATTCACATGGGATCAAATTCTCAGTATTCAATGGTTTTAACGACTGTATATCTGGAATGGTAAATAATAATAGTAATAACAGACTTTTTTATGTATATGACAATACTAACTTTTTTATTTCTTCTTCAGCTTGGGTTACTCCATATGTTTGTGGATTAATAACTTTAGCTGTAGCACTTCCAAAATCACATAGTACATAGTTTCCACTATCACTAAGAAGTATATTTTCAACCTGCAATTAAAATTATTTTCAACAAGTAGCAATTTAAATACATTAAACTAGTATTAATTTTCTTAATTTTTACACAAATACATGGCAAAGTTATTAAATACTTTTGACATAGAAAATCACTTTGGCCTCTATAACATTTCTATTGCAACAATAAATTCTACTTTTAGATAACATGAATCTAAATGAAACTTTTATTAACATGAAAATGAATTTTTAAAAATATAATTTTGTAAACATTTAATGGAATCAGAAATTTCACTGCATCGCAGAGGGATTAAAAAATTAACAGGGGTGTCCTAACTGGGAAGGCTCGTGCGTGTGTACACGAAAGCACACAAATTTGCTTATTTAAGCTGAAAGGAAGTACGCAATAATATTAGCTTCTTCGCCCACAGCCAGTCCCAAAATTTTAAAAATGCTTTAACATAAAAATAATAAAATATGCAATAATTATCGACTAAATGTTTTTTAAAACACTTTTATAATTGTCAGTCTGGTTCTGGAGAGGGAAATCCACATTAACCTTTAAATTATCATGCCCGAAATAATCTCGGACGCATCACTGGTGTTCCAAAATGTCACGCCTGAGTATCACTCGGGGTAAATTTTTTTTTGAGTGCATCATATTGTTATACTCGAAATATATCGTGAGAAGTTTATTTTGGCTTCAATTCAATAGATGGCAGCAATTTAGTGAAGATTTTAAAGTATAGAGGTTTATGTTCAAAGTGCGCTGCATTTTTTTAATTGGGTGGCAAACATTTGATTTTTGCAATAAAAAAATTGACAATTTATGTATTCAAATCATCAAAATAACTTGACAGTTAAAAGGTTAAATATTTCCTTTTAGCTTCAATAAACAAATTTATATCTTTATTAGTTGTTTTATATTATAGCAATGTTAAGTTATTTATGTATTTTATTTTGACTATACCTATGCACACACGTCATACTATTGGTAAATATCTTAATAAATAAAATTTTTTCCTTGTTGATGCATCATCTCTTATGTTAACTAAATCATCATCATAAATATTCAACATTTTATGCCTAATTACCAATATTTTGCTACATTTGCATTAATATTTTATTAAATTTTTCTATGTAAGACAAAGGTTTTCAGAAACTACTTTTCATGCAAAGTAAAATTCATAAGCCATTTGGTTTCCTTGATGTCTATTCATCAGCTGTTACACCGAATTTTCATGTTCTCTTTCTTATGCAGCAAAATTTTTTCTGATTTATTTTTGAATATTTCTTACACATCGGAATAAATTTTCTTATAGTATTTCAACATTTAGATATATTAACATATTCTTTATATTTAGATCTAAAGAGTGGATATTGGGCAAGTAGAGATACATCCTGATGACCAAGAAATGACAGCATTTACTATGGGACAAGGATTTTGGCAATTCAAGGTGATGCTGTTTGGATTCTGCAATGCACTGGCTACATTCGAGCACCTCATGCAGACTGTTTTGAAAACCTACCTGTCCCTACATCCCAACCAGTTTTTTTCAGTTGTTTGGTAAAATTTTACAAACGCTGATTACAAGAAGTAAAAATAATACAGCCTTGGGTAAAACAGCGATTTGGTATCTAAAATCGCTGTTTATTCATTATTGCCAATCTAAATATTTCGTATCTATGTACTTTTTATCCACACATTTTCCACCAAATTAACTTAAAGAAAAATACCTATGCAAAAGTATTTAGATTTAAATACAAAATACTAGTTGTATTAAGTTGTCTAGACATTTTCCCCCAAAATGATGACAGATGTCTTTTTTACATTGAGCTATGTGAAAACAGTTTTGGTGGAAATTCAAACTTCAGGTAAAAAAATTACTGAAACTGTTACAAATGCTGCATTTCCTCGCATATTCCTTCTCCCAGATTCTGAAACTTTTTTAAATATTTATGTAATATTTTCCTTTTTCAATATGCTCAGAGAAAGAACTTCCCTAAATTTTTCAATGGTTTCATCTACACTTGAATAATTTCATCTTATTAACAAAGACAAACCCATGAAAACTACATGCAAAGGTCACACTGAATCGTTCTCTTCTAGTTGTTGAACGTTATGCCAGCCTAATGTAAGAACTGACCAATCTCAGTCAAGCAAACAGGAAATGACATTCAGTCTATGATTTCGCTGGCAAGTCTGTTGCACAAACGGCGGTGGAATTTTCCTCTCTTGATTTTCAAATAATAGAATTTGTTTAAAAAAAGAGTGGGGATATACAGTAATCAATAATATGCCTTAACCGAAGTAGTGATTGCAAAGTTTTTCACTTCTTTATGTTCTAACTTTAACAGCATCCTTTGGAAATTAAATTATTTGCAGAATTTTCCTCTCTCGATTTTCAAATAATAGAATTTGTTTAAAAAAATAGTGGGGATATACAGTATAATCAATAATATGCCTTAACTGAAGTAGTGATTGCAAAGTTTTTTTTTTTTTTTTGAGGAAATAGCTAATTATGAAATCTGGAAAAATAAAAGCTGCAAAGAAAAATGAATACAATTTTTCAATTATTTTTAAAAGAAAAAAATTCATTGCTCAAATAATGGACTACATTTTCATCATGCCAGGAACACTGGCATCAATCAAAGCAGTATTCTCAATAATGAATATCATACGGCCTGGATAGAAGCAGAAAGCTAAATCAACTGTAAAAGGTTTACAAAGCTGCAAAATTCACAGAGAACTAAATTGCAATGAAATTTTGGATGCCATTACATATAACAAATAATTTATAAAATTCACACTAGTGATAAATACTAATAACTTCTTAATAATAACAGGTAAAATGAGGTAAAAAATACATTGCTCCGCAGCTTACAGTAACAAACTACATGTAGCAAGATGAAAAAAATATTCTATCATTTATAAGGAAATCAGAAGGAAATTATGACCTGAAATTTATGCTACACCAGAAATTAAGTTTGTTAAAATAATAATAAAATATTCAAACAATTCCAGGCATATGTTATTTAGTTAGCAAAATGTTCATTCAGAAGCTGCCATTGATTTTGGAATATGTGATTTCCATATGCAATTTCATTGGCTATCACTAATTAATTCGACCGTAACTTTGTATCCCAAGTACTCAATGATCAAGATTCCTGGCACAGGCACCAAGAACTAGTACCTGATGTACCAGCAATAATTTTCCTGTAGAGTGGTGTATGAATCACAGACATCAGGAGCTACTTGTTCAGATATCTGTTGTCTCATGTAGATGGGACTCATATTCACATTACACATGGAGGGTGTCTTGAAAAGTACTTAAAGCCATTTTTCGGGATACCAACCTGGTCAGACTACCAGCATTCAGTGATCTTATTCACTCAGTACTGGGCCACCCAGAATTAAAGAACTATAATCACTTATACATGTCATTACTGTAAAAGCCCAAAGTCTGGTAAATCCTAGCTTTTACCAAAGTGGCTAGGTAAAAGTCCGAAGTATGCTTTAATATGATTTCATTTCAGCGTGTTACCATGCCTTTGTGGTAAAACTTAGGAGTTACAAGAGACTTCTGGTAAAAGCCTGAAACGAGGAATTACTGATAATTCGATTTTCCGTTCTTCTATCCTACTTCATCAGCTCTTTTATCATGTAAACTTCGGATTAGGATGAATTAAGATGATTTCAATATACTAAAATGAATTTCATATTACGATCAGGGTTGGACTGCATATCTCTGTTAGGTCGAATTGGCATCGAGAATTTATTTCGCTATGCACAACTGGTTTGATTACAATCTCTTTTTTCACAGATTTTTGTTTTTTTCTGACATGGTTCACATAGTCTCAGATACGTGATGATATATTCTAATCACATTGTTTCTCTTGTGATTCAGTTCTTTAATCATGCGGATTCTTCCACCATGGCCAACTGTAATATGAGCATCTTGTATAAGGAAGACTTCATCACTTGTAACGTAATACAGGATTTCTGCTTTTTCTGCAGGTAGTGGTGCTATAAGCTTGTCCTCTCCTCCAATATTTAGAATATCATAGAGTTTCAACCTTCTGTAATGAATTGTTCGTTTTTCTTTCACACATTTTCCTCCTTTCACTTCATTTATTAAAGAAGTGCAAGTTTCATTTGTTAAATAAAAGCTGTTATTGTGCTTATATTTTACAGATTCAGACAAAATGTCGTAAAATTTTTTCCATGTAACAGCCCTCATTTCCTTTCAGCAAAATAAAAAATGCAAAATATGTTAAAATGGAAACAAACTGCTTCTATTTTAGATTGTAACCGTTTATACTTGTTTGAATTTGCTCAAAGGTAGACTGCAAATGGCACGTATAAGGACAAGCAGGAACAGAAAAGTGTTGCAACAGAATTTGCATGCAAAGATTTATGCAAGTTCGATTTAAATCCCTCGATTCTGGCTTTTACCGGAAGACGTTGGTAACTCCTAGGCTTTACCACAAAGACTTGGTAAAAGGCTGAAATGGAATCATATTAAAGCACACTTCAGACTTTTACCAAGCCATTTTGGTAAAAGCTAGTTTTTACCGGTAACATACATATTACTTCTTATCATTCTAGACATAAGCAGATCATATATGCCAAATGAAACAGACCATTTATCCTTAATTATTATGCTTTAATTTGCATGTACATAAAAGAGATATATATCGCACAAATGCTTAGGTAAATACATATCACAGTCAGTTATCTACTACTGATGCTTCTTATGGTTAAACTAGCACTTTTAATAGATCATGCCTCCTTTTGAAGAAGTTAGGACTTATCCTTTAAGGTATACTTCCCATTAAATTCTTAAAACTCAAGAATGAATTTGTTTCCATTTCTTATGTAGCAGACTGAATAATTTATGAGTAGCAGTATGTTCAGAAAGTATGGTATGCAACTTATGCTCCAGTTTATCCCCAAAGATGCTCAGTTTTCAGGACTTTGGAAGAGCTAGAGAAACTTTCCATAAAGAAAACACAAAAAAGAAAGTTATCTAATGCAGTGTGATTTCTTTTTGAGTATTTAAGTAACATGGCATAGTCTTCCCCCACTGGGAGGAGCTACTAATAACAGCAGCAAATCCTGATAAAATAATATTTCTAAGCATCCAAAGCCTAAATTTGCATCAAGTTGGGGACAACTATAATCTGGATTAAAATCTATTTTTCTTCCATTACAGAGGAGCATGCTAAATTTTTATGCTTTCGAGTCTACATATCTGGTAGTAAAAAATGCAAAATGTTATAAGAAATGAATACCTACACCATTCTTCTCGCTATGAATTTCATGGAACTGACCTCTTGAAACTAAAATAGAATTTGACTGCCCCAAAAATATACAAGGAATCTGAAACCATTTGTTCAGAACATTCAGATCATTTAAAAATTTAATGACTTAATGGTATTTGTCTAATTTACCTTAAGGTCTCTATGTATGATAGGTGTTTGACAATGGTGCAGCCGTGATACAGCTTCACATACATCACAAAATATCTGAAGCACTTCAACTTCAGAAAAGCCAGTGTGTAGTCTCTCATTCATAAGCTGTAGAACATGACCTAAAAAAAAAAAAAAAAAAAAAAAAAAATCAAACTATATATAGAAAAAATATAAAAATTTCAAGCTTGTTTTAAAACAATTCCTAACTTAAAGGCAAAAAAGTGCAGTTTTAAAGGTGCAAAATAAAGAAAATTTGCAAATTATGTCTATTTTTACAAAAAGTATTAAATCAAAGACACTAATTATGCCATCAAAAAATCCTGCAAATAATTCAGAGTTAAATACATAAGCGTATACATGCATGTCTATGGAGCTATGATTGTGGTGGGGATATAAGTGCATGAAGGGTTTTCGACGAGCTGTGTGCTGTTGACTCCTTCATGACATTCACTGTATTTCTTGTAACAGTTGAGCAAATTTTATAAGGTATCAAATAAAATGAGTAGTGACAAATGATGATGGAATGAGATAAGAGAATTATCAGAAGATTGGAGACAAGCCAATAGGTGGCTATAAAGCTCAATGCAAAGCCTAGTGTCAATTGCAATTTGAGGAAACAAAAGAGGACACTGGATCCATAATGAGAAGACCATAAAAAATAAAAAATAAATAAAAAGGGGGCGGGGTTAATGGGTCGACAAGGATTAGAGATGAATAAGAATTGCTATTTGGCCCTTTCAGCATACTGACAGAGGGATGCTAGAGTTTACAGCTTTCATGCGAGCTGGATGCTGCCACTAGAACCCGAGTTCATGGTATACAATTGCCCAGCATGCTGCCCAATCTGGCTGTGAAAGGGGACGATACCCCATATTAGACTCATTTTGAGTTTCATATCACAACATGGATTTTGGACATCCCTGCACTATGAGTTTTACTGATACTCATGTGCACATAGAATGACTTCTAAATGACACATCTCTTTCTCTACTACCCACTAGTTTTCCATAAGAAAAGCATAATAGCAATTTCAATGTAGTGATATCGAGAGCCACTCAACGCTCACAAATTTGAAAGAGTCAGAATTCTTGAACATAGCAAACGACAGCTCTCTGTGCTAGTTGTAGGGAATTCGACTCGCATGAAACAGACCCAGGATCGACTCCCAAGGTCATTCATTATCATCTTCAAGGGCATGCAAAATTTGTGTGCTGCTGTGTCTTGCACTGGTGTTAATAGATGGTAACACGAGCAAGCAGCTACATTACCTGAAGCCACTGACAGGGTTGCCACTCAAACAGGAGAATGAAATTCCCTGACTTTTCCATATGTGTTTAAAAAAAATTCCAGTCTATCCGTATAGTATGCACTGGCTGTGCTGAGAGGTAAATTAATAACGGTACTTGACACTTGAAAACACAAATATTTGCCAATTACATGTGACTTACACACACATACACAAATATATATAATAATATAAAATCCCCAAAGCATTACTATTACAACTATAATAGGAGTTGTTTTTTTCCACTGAAGACAGATTAGAATCTGCCCAATCTGGATTAAAAGATTTCCTTGCAGACATTTTGAAGTGAAATGAAAGAAAGAAATCTATTTAATAAATATTTAAAAATAAATTCAGGTATTTTATATTTATTTAGCAGCTTACATAAGCAAAAAATATGCGCATTAAATTTCGTGATGGTATGGCATCATACTGGCAGAATTAGTTTCAGGATTATGACCAAGAAAACTGCCTGAAATTTGAAAGTATTATTAACTAATAATAAATAAATTTAGAGGGAAGGAGCCACATTAAATGGAACGAATAACATTAAAATTAAGTTAATTACTTAAAAACTGAATTACAATAATCAATGATATTTTGGCGAATACAGTTACATTAAATGGTTAACCTAGATGACTACTATTTTTTTATTTTACTGCAAAATGACAAATAAGGCATTTATATATATATATATATAAGAGAGAGAGAGAGAAGACTAGAAAGCTTTTGCAGTAAAATCCTACAATACGCTACGGCCTTGGCCCGATTTTGAAAATTGTTGCCAACACCAAAATGACCTGTTTATTGATCATCATAATGACGTCCAATCCTTTGTGTACTAAGATTAAATTGATTTTGCTTTATACGAGAATAAGAAGGTATTTTCTTTCATTCAAGATGCACTGCTTATGCATGTGAAAGTCTCTCGATTCTCGAGATTACGGGAAACCAAAGTTGCTGGGAACTTGCTTTGCCTTTCTTAAAAGACAATTTGATTGGAGCTGCGAAAATTGGCTTTACGCCAGCTGCCCAAATGACGTGTACGCGATACATAATTTGCCAGTAAAGTGATCGCTTCCAACTTTGGCACAAAACTTGCTTTTTTTGGGGGGGGGATTTCCATATGAAATTCCCTGACTTTTCCAGATTTTGGCTAAAATATTTTAATTCCTTGACTATTGGAAATAGGGTCAGATTGAATGTCTTCCATTAGACCATATAGGGATTTTGATTTGATTGGATAATTTGATGGAACATGGCTGGCTTGCTGTTCTCCGTAATTTTTTGACATGTTGGCCCCTGTTATGGCCTGATGGCTGAACTTATATCGGCTCAGGGGAGGGGGTCACCCCCTAGCAATAACAACAACAAATTACCTAACTCTTTTTCAAATTCCCTGACTTTTTCTGTTTTTCCAAGTAGCATGGCAACCCTGCACTGAGGTCCCTCCCACCACTTGATCAGTAGCAAAAAATTGACTAGGATGTGTATAGTATGTAACAAACGGAACAAGGCTTTATTGACAGAATAGCCATTGGTACAAAAAAAAACTATGTTAAGGAGGGTAAATAACAAACCAATGTACCTTAGCAGGGGATATGACCTTCCTTTACTGCACTGGTAGAATTTCACTATCTATCAATTACTGAACATCAGATTATCCAAACAATTCTTGGAGTAAGCGTTCCCATTCTTCAAGAAGCATTTGTTTCAGTTGTCTGCTGCTCTCCAAAGGGTAAGATCGTGCTACCAGGGGTTTCTCTATAGTATCCCACACATGTTTAGTGGGATTTAAATCAAGGAAACATATTGGCCAATCCATTTTTCTAGATATTTTCATCTTCCAGGAGCTTCTCAACAGCATAAGCCCTGTGTAGCTATGCACTGTCAGCCATAATAACAAAGTTGGGACCAACTGCATCCTGGAAAAGACGCACATGGAGGAGGATAACTTCATCGCAATAATGATCTGCAGTAAGCGGACATCTGTCGAAAAAGTGGAGCTCTATTTGTCCATTTATCATAATGCCTCTCCAAACAAGCATGCAAGGACCAGCCTAATGGTCTCTCTCTCCGATGTTAGTGGGATTAAAGCATCTTCTTACTTTTCTTCATATCAACTGGCAACATTTATCATTTAACAGACTGAAATGATTCTCATTGGTAAAGAAGATGTGACTCCAATGATGAGGCATCCAGTATTTTTTTCCTACACCACTGTAAATGGTGACACTTATCGGCTGCTGTCAATGATATGCAGGACGCTGGATAAATAGGCCAACTTTATGAAGTCGTGCGGCCACATTAAAATCGGAACACCTGCCATCTGACTGCCAAGTGCAGCTGCTGAGTAACGTTATCCACTGTATGCTTATCTCTTTTCAGCTGCAGGGTTCTATTTCGGTCATTACTCACCATTGTTTTCCTTGGCCGACCACAACTAACCTTTCTTACAGATATACCTGTCGTCTGGAAGACTTACCAAGCTTGTGAAAGAACGCTTTTATCAGCTCCAACCTCTTGGGCAACAGATGTCAACGCACCTTCCTCAAGCTTGCCAATCATTCTACCATGTGTAAAGGCATCCTGATTTTTTTTTTTTTTTTTTTTTTTTTTTTTTTTTTGGTAGCCATACTGGACATACAATCTCATTCATACAATCTCATACATTAGAAGAGTGCCTGTAAATGCATCTTCCTTTCTTCTTTTTAAATTGTCTTGCACTGCATATGCTGATTCCTAATGTTTTGCATACCCTTGATATGCCCTTCACCATGGTGTTGATATATGCATATTTATCAACTTTCTACTGAGTTGGCTTTTCATTGTACTGATCCTAAAATGGCCTTTTTAATTATTTCATGGTACAGGGTGATTCTTTTAGAACAGACCTATTTCAATGGGCTGTAGTTTTGTTAAAAAGTATCAGATTTTAATGCTGTTTGCAGCAAAAGATTCAAGGAAGGATGAAAATTTAGTGGCCCGTTCCATATTTTGATATGCACACCGAAAAAAAGAAATAAGAAATAACAAAAACCGCTACATTCTGCTTGCTAAGGTCACCAAAGAAATCTCTCCAATGTTTATCTCAGAAAACATCTGGAATGAAACCATACAATGTAACGACAGTAGAGGAATTGCAAGACACAGACAGGATGAAGCAGATGGACTACTGTGAATGGTTCTTCTTGTTCATCAACCGTATTCCCAACATTCTAGAGCTGACATGGTTCACAGATGAAGCTTGGTTTTACTTGTCCGGATATGTCAATTTCCAGAACACACATATCTGGTTGACTGAAAACCCACATGTGATAATTGAGATGCCACTCCATTCAGAAAAAGTTGGAATCTGGTGCGCTCTGTCTGCCACTCGTATCGTCGGACCGATATTTTTCAAGGGAACAGTGAATATCGAGCACTACATGCACATTTTTAATGAATTTGTATAGCAGATTGATGATATGGATCTGACTGACGGGTACTGGCAGCATTATGGTGCTACATGGCACATGTCAAAACAAAGCATCGATTTAATCACAGGGTTCGTACACATTTCCTTACATGAAAATTAAGGACTTTTAAGGACCATCAAAGAAAAAATTAAGGACCTATCAGCAAACAAAAAAATGAATAGAATAAAGCAATTATCCATACAACCGACTTCATGCTTGTAATTTCACTTTAAGAAACTAACAGAAGTGTATTATTAACTATTATCAAATTTCATACTTATCAAATACTTACCATAAAACAAGTTTGAAAATTAAACTAACTCCCTACAAGTTATGAAGGCAGATAACATTAAATTAGGAATATAATTTTCTTGAAAACACGTTTAAGTGTATTTAGCACTAATAACAGTCATACGTATTTTAGAGATTTACATGATTACTATTTAACTTTTTTGATATTTATTCAAACACAGTCAACTACTATTAATAATCACAATGTAAGAATATTTTGCAGATTAAAATAACTGATTTGAAAACATACAATTTATTTCTTTGGTTTTTTTGAAAGATACTATAATAATAAACTATACAATAAAAGATACAAACAATTTGTGCTTTTTTAAAAATCTGAAATCTTTTCAGCTATTTTAACATCTAATTTATTTATGTCTATTTCCTTTTCTTTAACTATTCTTCTAAGTTCATTTGCTTTGATAAACAAATCAATGTTCCTGCTGGTCTCAGCTTCATCTGCTAAAGCATCTACTTCTTCATAAATATCTTTAATGTCCCTCTGAAGAAATTTTTTCTTCTGTTTCATATAATCAATTTCTTCCTCAATAATATTTCTTTTCTTCTTTGAATTTTCAGATTTAGTTAAAGATTTTTGTTCTTCTAAATAACGAACTCCACTTCTTGCAGAAGCTGCTGCTGATCTCGTTTCTTTATTAATTTCGATATTAAGAACACCTCCAGAAAATTTTATGTAATCAAATACTGTGCATTGAAAAATGTATGATGAGTCACTTAAATTTTCAATTTCAATTGCTTTATTTACAGAGAAGCCCCTTTCCACAGAGGCCTGTTCATGTGACAAGATAAGAATACTTGTCACAGTGAATACTTGAATAGTGAAAAATATACATTTTTTACTATATATACATAGACTCCAACCTTCAGCAAACCTTGTCAGTAGTCAACGCGCGAACGACATTTTTACAACTTTGAAAATGTGCGCGTAGCGTATGTTGTAATTAACCATTCATTAATTTTAAATTAATGATTAATTGTAATCAATTTTGTTACATTTAAAATCCATATACATATAAAACGGAATAATTAAAAATATACCTTGTAAATTATATGCACATTTAATTAGAAATTTTCTTTTAACTCCTCAAGCATTCACTAATAAAAAGTACTTCAATCACTACTAATCATAGAAAAAATCAGAAGCTATAAATCATATCTTTATTCTGGATATGATTTCTACAGGGAAATAAAATTTAAATAACCAAGAATGATACATATAAGTATTAAACAAAATACGCATAATTTATGAATGCAAAGATTTATATGTAGCATGCTTAGCAAGCTTAAGTTCTGATTTTGAGAATGTTTTTTTTATAACACGTTCTTCATTTGCCTGCATATTTATTTTTTTCAATCAAAACTGTTTCAAGAGTTTTAAGACCTAAATTTGGTCGAAATTCCGTCTGATTTTTTTTTTTAACAATAGAAAAAATTCTTTCGCAAGCTGCATTTGAATGAGGTATTATTAAGACAGCAAGCATTACAGAAGGCAATACTTTGTATTTAATACACCCCTTCATATTTTTTAATTTGGCAATTTCTCCCCATGCTATATCAATACGCAAATCTACAATTTCTTTCAAATCATCTACTTGATACATGGAAAATTCAATTTTCTACTTGATTAAGACATTTTTCATCAATAATGGATGGAAAAGTATTCATCAAGTAAAGAACAGATGAAATGAGACTTCAGTTCTCAAGTTGATGTCAGCAAACTTCAGCATGTTTTAGAAATGGATCACTCAGTAGAAATTTATCAATTATATATGAACATGCAGTTACAAAAAAAGCTTGCACAGAATTGAAAAATGATTTCACTTCACTTTCATTCAACTTGGCATTTTTTAAATATAGTCTTGTTTTCGCACCAATCACTAAATTTTTCATTTCTTTTTTGTTTACTATACTTACTTCTGAAATGGAATAGACGTTAGAGTAACATCTTCATTTTCTTTAGAAATTACTGATGGTTTTACGAATCTAACAAATAAATTCATTAAAAGTTTCAAAAAGTTTCTCTTCTCAATTTATGTATATAAGGAGCTTGTTGTTGCAAATTAATATTTGCTGTTATAAACAAAGGCAAAGTATTTTTCAAAAATAACAAGTACAATTTGGTGGTCGGTGACTGTAAAATTTTTTTAATGTTTTGCAATCTCTTTCCTTCATTCTCACTGTTACCTCCTGTTTTATCTCCAAAAAAATTTATCACAGCATCCCACTGTTTCCAAAATCCTTGTTATAGATTCTAAAAGAGACAACCATCTCGTACTGCAATATTTCAAAATTTTATGAGATTTTTGCATTCTGTCCCAAAATTTGTTGAGCAACTTTGAAGCTATGCTTCCGTTTTCGAACTTTCTCCAAGTAAAAATATATATCTATTATCAACATTTCAATTTCTGAGCCAATTAATTTTCAGTAGCTTTTTTTGCAGCTATATGCAAGAGGTGGCACGGACAACCTCGGGTGATTATACTTGTTGATGCATTTTGATAAATGATGCTACACCTTTAAACTTTCCAATCATATTACTAGCATTATCTGAAGAAAATGATAAGCAATTTTTTCCATTCTAAACCTTTGTTTTTAAAGTTTTCATTTATACAATTAAAAATACCTTCCCTCTCCTGTATTATTCGTGCATTCTAAATAGAAATCAATGAAGTAATTATCACTTCCTTTTCTTTACTGTAGTAATGTTATAACCAATGGGTACAGTTTGTTTATCATTGTTATCATTACTTCCATCAGTACTTAGAGAAAATGATGTACTGCACACACTGATTTTATAATATCAGCAACAGTATTTTCTGCAAGCGTTTTCACAATAGCAGCAGTTTTTGGTATGACCGCAGCTAAATTTTTTTGCTATGGCAGAATCCGGAAACATTGCTTTGAAAGCTCTTTGGAATGATCCGAAACAGAAAGCGGTAGATTATGTTCAATTAAAAAACGAACAAATAGCATTCGGCTTTTATAGGATCTGTTTCATCATCTTTTTATTAAGAAATTTGTTATTTCTTTAGATTTTACGGTGCCAAGTTCTATATGCTTTTGAGAAAAAACACATGCCATTTACAGTCATCTTTTCCGCCATGAGCAACTGAGAAGTCTTTGTTGCATACACTGCAGTGTGCGTGATTCACAGAAATTTCGGACGCTTTAATGCATGGAAATTCTGAAGAATATGAATCTTTAAACTTCTGCTTTGATAATTTTGGCTTCTTCGTTCGAGGCAGCATTATGATTTAAAATCTTTCACCTGATTCACAGTTCACAAGACACACACGCTAAGCTCTCGCCGTAAACTACAATGCAGCCGAATGCAGCCTAAACACGCATCAGCGAGGAACCTGGGAGACACACAATTGGGTGGAACTATTGATAAGTCATTAACGGTTTTGAGTTACTGATCTACGATTGGCTAATTCTTCAAAACTAGGAACGCACTCAACACGTGTATTTGATAACACGAGTATTCAGCCAATCATCGGATGACTAGTTGGTTCCGTTTTGCGTACTGGTCTCCCTGCTCTTGTTTCTGTAAAATCCGTAGTTTTTTCCATACTTTTCGTAGCTCGTAGTTTTTCATGAATTTCCGTAGAAACTACAGAGAATCCGTAGTAGTTGGAGTCTATGTATATATATATAATTTATTTCCTAAACAATATTGATTAATTGATTATATTATCTCCTAAGTTTAATTAAAGTAGAATTATTTTAAAAGAGTGAATCCATACTGGTAAGTTATATTTTGAAAGATGTATATATATAGATATATATATACAGTAC